GTGGTGTTTGCTTGATTTGGCAGAGTGCTTTCTGGTGCATCAGAATTGTTCATGTTATTTCCTTATACTGTATACTATATACTGTATACTATACTATTTCCTTATACTGTATACTATATATTTGTCACAAAGATGGGATGTCACTTATACTTGGCTAGAATTGAGGCTAAGTAATGGAGAAAAAATAAATACATAAACTGTAAGATACTGTACGTTAAAATGTTCCTACAATGGAATGATACCATTTTGGTAAACGTAAGCAAACTGCGGTCACTGCCAATATAAATGTATTTTGGGAAAGAAATAGAATATGGAAGGAGATACAGTTCCAAGAGAACTGAGTGCTGTTTATATATGTGTGTGTGTGTTTGTGTGTCACAGCATTGAAATAAAATGCTAAATATACAACTCACAGGGCTTTGCATCAACAGTAACAAATGAGGAAAATAGAGAACTATGATGACCCAGAGGACAGGATGAGTACCAGCTGGGGCTCAAGTGTCATTAAAGACATCCCCCTTACCCCTAGCATAATTTGGAGTTATGACTACAATCTAGCATAAAGGTTGACCTGCCTCAAATATGTGACATTAGCATACAAGTAGTCCTCAACTTACAACCATAATTGAGCTTGAAATTACAGTTGTAACATATGCCAGTTGTTAAGCAGATCATGTGACTACATCTGATTTCATGACTTTTTTTGTGGTGGTGGTGGTTAAGAACATCACACATTCAGCCAGATGACTGTGCAAAAAAAAAAAAAAAGGCAGACAAAATAATACATTACAGTTGGTGGTGAATTATCATTGGGCAGTTAAGAGTCTAATTTTCCATACACAATAACAGAATCTGGCCACATTCAGATAAACTACTTCTTAATGATCCAATAACAGTAGTTGTACATAGAAGAGATCTGTATTCCCCAGATATTTTATTAGGTAAGGTGTTATAAATTGAGTCCGTGAGTCCTTATAGATGATGCAGTATAGCAGGACATGAGCTTTAATTTGAATGGCCTGTTGTCCTCTGGGGCAGAGTCTCAATTCATATGGGTTTTTTTTTGTTTTTGTTTTTTTTGTATCAGCCCTTTAAAACTACTGTAGGAAGTGTGTTTCAGTTCACTAAAGTTAATGCCCTTCAAATTTTGGGGACACCTATTTGTTTTGCCATTTTTTTAAAAAAGGCAAACAAAAAAGTGAATGTAATATTTTCTTTAGACTTAACCCCCCCCCCTCTAAGAAAGCCTTCCAATCTAACAACATATTAGACTTAAAATGTGGCTTGTAGATGACTTAAGGTATTTTGATAACACAACCAGGGAATGTTCCATTCACACATCCTCTTGAAGGCCAATAGAAAGGCTGATGTTACGTATAATACTACACATTATTTTTGCAATTGTTAATAGACAAGAGAAAGCAGACAGGAGATACAACACATGTATTTTAAAACTTAAATGTATTTTTATAACAAATATATTTGTCTTTTCTTTCCTGAGGGCTCAGTCACTTTCAGCCTTCTGAAACAGGTCTAAGATAGATTCAAGATTCTCTCTGTCTCAGATTGTATAAAAGTATCAAGGCCATTATGTGCAATATATCTGTAACAAACAAGAGTGTCATTTTCTGAATTCATAGACTACACAAATCAACCAATCATATTTTAGCCTAGCATGCTGTGGAAATCCAGCCCATGTGGTTAGTTTATGGTTCAGAATGTGTTGTACAACCTAAGATAATAGATTATGTTTAATGTAGCCATGTGAACATAAACATTCCTTTATCAAAGGAAAAATTATCTTCTCCTGAGTTAACTGTTTGCATGAGCTTACATTAAAGATATACTAGTCAAAAGATTGTCAGTACATGCTACAATGTCTCTTGTGTTTAAGGTTTCCAGTATTTGTCCTTAGCTGTATTGTCTATTGATGTCATTCACTTGCAATATGAGTAAAAATGGAGGAAAGATTAGGAAGAGATAGCCCACACTTCAATAGTTTTGTAGGAAGATGCTTTTGATGGAATGTGAGAAACACATGGTCACCCCTTCCTTTTCTTATCCAATTTTATTCTGAAATATAGAACTACATCCACAATGTTCACTCCAGAAATGAAATAGCTTTCTTTGTAATCATAACCTTTGTTGATGGCTTTCGGCAAAGCTGGGGTGGGGGATAGTGTATCACTCTTGTGCTACTTCATCTCTCATTGGTTTCAGATATTGTCAATCTTCTGGAATAACTACAGTAGGCATGTCAAACTTGTGATGTCACATGATGTCATGCAATGTATCACAACTTTTTCCCCATTGCCAGCAATGGGGTGGGTGCGGTTTCGGTGTGACGCATCTGGCCCACGGGCCGGCAGTTTGACATGCCTGAACTACAGGGTTTGGGCCTGGAAGGCACTGTATTGTGATGATTCTTCTCCTTCCTCTATGGTCAGATCCAATTAATGTTGATGGGATTGTGGGAGAAAGTTCACAGTTTAAAGCTTTTGTCCCTCCTGTTTAACATCTACACAGAATCTACATGTGTGAGGTCATCTTTTGGTTTAGGGTCCAGTGTTATCACCATGCAAATGATACCAATTGTTCATTTTAACTCAGATCATTCAGGAAGTGCTGTAGATGTCCTGACCCAGTGTCTAGAGGCTGTTTGGGTCTGGATATGGAAGAATAGCCAAAGTAGGCTGTGCCTGTTTGGGTCCTTCTGGATCTAGCATTTCTTCTCCTTTGGTTTTAGATGACTTCCCCATTTGAGACTAGTACACAACTTGGGGCGGTGTCCTCCTGGTCTCATAACTACTACTTGAAAAGAAGATGACAGCTGTGGCCAGGAAGGCCTTTGCACAGATCTATCTTGTGTACGAGTTGCAGCCTGCCCTCAACCTAGAGGCCCTTTAGAGAATCACTCATGCCCTAGTCATCTTATGATTGGATTACTGCAATGCAGTCTGCATGGGCTGCCCTTGAAGATCACCCAGAAAGTACAGATGGTCTAAAATAGTGGGATGACAATGGGCACATCTTAATATGCCTATATATTATGACTGCTCTACAAATTGCACTGGTTGCTAGTTGGCTTCTGAGTGTAATTCAAGGGGCTGGTTATCACCTATAGAGCTTTTTTGTGACATATGCCCTAATTATTTGAGGGATAATTATTATCTTGAAGCAGTAATTCGCAAACTAAACTGGGTAAAAGTTGGAATGAAAATCAATGGCACCTATTTAAATCACTTAAGATTTAGACATGATGTTGTTCTCTTCTCACAAGACCCAGAAGAGCTACAAAGACACATACAAGAGCTGTACAAAGCAGGAGAACCATTTGGCTTAAAAATAAACCTGAAAAAGAGCAGGTTATGTTTAATAAATTCACCAAAGGAGAAGGATGAGACGTAGTAGACCACTACATATACCTTTGCCAATGGATCTCAATGGAAGGTGGTACAATAAAGGAAATTGAGTGGCATATTAAATGTGGTTGGCAGGCATTCAGCAAGCTAAGCATAATTTTCAAGAAAAACCTCCCCCTATACCTGAAAAGTTTTTCATCAGTATGTGCTACCTGCTCTAAAATATGCTGGGGAAACATGGACACTAACCTCACAATCGATACAAAAGTTACGAATGGAGCAAAGAGCTATGGAAAGATACATGCTCAGCATTACAAGACAAGATAGAAAGACCTGCACATGGATTAGAGAAAAAACAAAAGTACTGTATCCGATATCAAGAGAATAAAAGAATTGAAATGGAAATGTGCTGGTCACATAGCAAGAATGGATGGCAGGTGGACCCAGGCAGTCATAGAATGGATCCCACTTGATAAAAAGCTTCCACGAAAGAGACCTAAGAGTATTATAGGCCCAAGGGGCAAAAGAAAACTCAGGACAACATTGATTGGAAACATGTGGAAGAGGCTTTCATCCTGCAGTGGACAGACAATGGCTAAGATGATGATGAATGATGATATTTGAGGGAGATCACCTGTCTCCAGTGGTCTCCACAAGATCAAGTAAAATACAGATGCTCCTGGGTCAATTAAACAATGTCATCTAATGGGACCCCAAAAGCATGTCTTCTCTATCGAAGTGTCTGACCTCTGGATGCTGTCCCCATGGAGAAATGCACAGTTCCCACCCTACAAAGGTTCCAAAAGGCTTTGAAAATGTAGCTTTGCCTGCAAGTTTGGATTAGGTTGCTTGTTGTTTTAATTATATGTGGGAATGATTTTGAGAGACAGGAGGAAGAGCTGCAGCCTAGACCACAATCTGATAAACAAAAAAACGGAGTCAGAGGGGAGGGCAGAGGGTAGAGAGAGCATTTCAGAAGGGATCGTCCCTACTTTTCAGGAGAATAAAAATAAGGGAGGGGAGGAGGTACTTTCAGACATGAAAAATTACATTACTGCAACCTTCCAAAGAAGACAGTGTTAGTACTCATGGTTGCTGTTTCTTGTCTCGACTGCCTCAAAGGGCTGACTTTTGTTGAGCCCCTATATAATTTTGTGGAGGTGTTTGTCCTATTAACTCTATAAGCCGCCTTCCAAATCTAAATAAATAACACCTGTCTGTCCTGATGTGAAGACACAACCAGCCACCCAAGTGAAAAAATACATCGAAACAGGAATGGGCAAGATTTTGGCAGCCAGAAAACACACCTGGGGGAAAAAAAAAGACAGCTCATTTGGGATGATGCCACCACCTCAGAGAGGAAATCTGCTCCCCCATCTCATGGTTCAAAGTTTGCTGTGTGAGCCAAGAACATAGGGTTAAGGGAGTAAAGCATAACCTGGTTAGACCAGGGAACCCCTGTCCTCATTGACTCCGGAGTCTTCAATTTCTGAAGCGACCCCCCCCCCCGAACAGTTGCATAACTGTGGAGGGTTGTTTTCCGTAGCGACCGTAGCTGTTTTCTCCCCCCCCCTCCCCACCAGGCCACCACATTGGTCTCCCTCCCCTCTCTGCACAGCCAGCCCATCCCTTCCCGCCTCGAGGCTGATTCTTCCCCTCTCGCTGGCTCCAGGTCACCAGCGTTTGTTGTCAAAACTGCAAGCGGTCCGCGCCGGAGGCGGCTGCTTGCTTTTGCCGCCGCCGCCGTTACCACCACACATGCCCTCGCTCAAAACCCGGTTTCCCGCCTGGGCTCAAAACTCCGACAAACATTTCCTAATAAGGTTTCGCAGGTATCGGCCACAGCCCGGCCGCGTTTTCTAAAGGACAACCCGGGGGGGATTACAAGGGGCCGGGGGGTGGGAGAGTTTGGAAAGCGTCGCTGAGAAACTTCGCGAGCAAAGAGAGCTTGAAATCCGGCGGGAGTTTCTAACTTGCTTAGCAGCGCCGGAGAGATCGCGGTGAGTCTCTCTCTCTCTCTCTCTCCCTCCCTCCTTCCTTCCTTTCTCTCAGCTTAAGGCGCCGGGCTTACTTTTCTCGATTTAGCTCCTGCGGCTAATTTGTCCTCAATGCCTCGGGGAGAGACAGCGGGATTTGGAAAAAGATTAAACACGCAGGAGCAGCAGGTTCCTAAAAGCAACGCGGCTCTTTCCACGTTGCAGACCGCGTTTCTGGGTACGTATGCGCCTCTCCTCAGGAGGTCTGCTTCAATCCTCAAGAGGTATTCCGGTGCAGACCTACTTAAGAGTAAGTCCCACGGAGCCCCGTGGGAATGAATGAAGAAGCGCAGGGTTGCGCTTCGGGCTGCGGTCTTGCGAGGGCGCCTGAAGTCCCTTTGGAGTGGGACTTCCTCTGAGGTAAATGGGCCCGAGAATCGCTTTCGCAGACGGCGTTTTAACTTCCAGCAGCTCGAATCCTACAACAGCTGCTCATCCCAAAATATATTTTCCCGCAATCCTGACTAGGAGACCGTCTGCCAACCCAGGCAAGAGGAAGGTGGGTGCTGAATTGGCTTCGGCCAAGCGGGCAGCCGGGTTCTCACATGCCCCCGCCCCTTTCGCGTTTGCTTGACTTGGTTACCGGCTTGGTGATGCAACAGATCGCGAGTGCCACCTGCGAATTACCTTGGAAAGGTGGTTTGCGCTTAATAAGGCAGCCAGGGGTTTGAAACCTTGCGGGGAATTGTGGTGGGAGCCTTTGGCTTTGTTGTCAGAAATCTCTGGATCGAAGGTCAGTGTTCCGCCTCCTCTTTTTCCTCGCGAAATGCAACTTATGTTACGATTACCAGATTTCCCTCCCCTTCTGAAAGGATCACCGAGTTCCTGCCTCGGTGTGAGAATCCTCTCTGGACGAGCTTCTCCAATTGCTACTTCTTTGAAGGGCAGCGCCGAGGGTGATGCTAAACAGCAGAGCGCGTGGAGCCTCGGTAGCCGGATTTCCCCACCCAGCAGATGCCAGAAGCATTTGTTTTTGATAAGAAATGTCATCCCCCTTCTCCCCCAGTCATTTTTAATCAACACCAGCTCCATGCACACAATTCTTCTTCAGGCTCTTGTTTTTTGTTTCTTCCCAAGCACAGACCTTATTCTCACAAATGCAAAACACCTTTGGGAATGTGTGTGTGTGTGTGTGTGTGTGTGCATGCAGGCAATGCCATTTCTCACCCTTCCCCTTTGCATTTTATCCAAGCTTCAGATTTTCTCAGACAATTAATTGAGCCATAGTTTACTTAATTATTGCTTAAGTGCTGGGATGGCACAGTACAAACTAACTACATCTGCTGGTTTCTCATACACAGAGAAGAACCAATATATATGTGTGGCTTATCAATGAGTCAGCAAGGCCCCTAAGTTAAAGTGTCTGGTCAAATAGTCATCCGTTCATGGAGCCTTTTAATATGAAACTGCAATGCTTAGAAGGATGCATTACCTATTATTGTTACAAAGATATTTTTCATTAGGAAGTTATGCAAAAGGGGGCAAAGAAACATCATAAACACAGTCTTCACAACCGGGTGTTCCCAAATGCATTGAACTAGATTGAATCAGTATAATTTGTGTCGGCCTTCCTCAAATTGAACAACTTCCAGATATCTGAACTTCAGTTCCAGAATTCCCTTAGCTGCGTGGCAATTACTAAGAATTCTGAAAACAAATACAAAGATTTGAAAAAGATTGACCTATGGTTGTGCTGTCTGGGAGATAAAAGGAGTGGAAGTCTGGTGACTGTGAGGATAACAAGTTTAGGAAGACTTATGTTAAACATCTGGCAGTAGATTTTTTTTTTTTAAAAGTCCCATACAAAAGTAGCCCAAGATGTTTTTTAACTTTACATTAAAAAAATATGTCCCTATCTTTCAATTTAGCTTGACTCTTGACTTGCAACAGTTGGATTGGCTGTTGCATCTTGTTTTAGTAGAGCCAAAGATAGGCCCTTTGTTATACAGGTAGTCCTCCTTTCATGTCACAGTTCTTAAGTGAATCACTGCAGCTGTTAAGTTAGTAACGTGGTTGTTAAATGAATCTGGCTTTCCAATTGACTTTGTCAGACGGTTGCAAAAGGGGATGCTGCAATGGTCATATGTGTGAAAAAGGTCATAAGTCCTTTTTTTCAGTGCCCTTGTAACTTTGAATGGTCACTAAATGAACTGTTGTATGCCGATGACTAACTGAAGTGATGTTCTAATTGTGGCACTTTCCAACTATTGTTGCCCTGACATCTTTTTAACATAGGATGTTAAATCAACATAAAGGTGGAATACAAACAATTTTAAAAGCTAAGAAATATACACAAAAATAAAAGCTTAGCTAGGATATTACCACTTTCTGCACCATGTGACTTTGAGTACTGTAGTTATACTGTAGTTATTTCTATTTTTTTCCTGTATTTTAAAGGTCTCTTGTTTAACTGTGTGCAAGCTCCTATTTGTAATTATTGTTAGCTTTGGGGGCCATTATATTTATAAGCAAATACATATAGTGTTATTCTGGACAGAAAGAAGTGGTAATGGGGCTGCTGCTCCCTCTAATATTGTTACACCAGTGATAAAGCTGACAAATAAGTCACTGTTTTGCAACCTGTTTGGTTCAGGCATGTGATAAAATGTAAATGGCCATCTGGGAATGATCAAATAGTGGTTAGTTGCTCAAGAACTCATCCAACTTGCCACTTGTATCTTTGTGAAACATTGCATTCTTTTGCAGCAATGCTGTAGGTAGGATACAGCGGAGGCAAAGGTTCTGATAAGATTCAGGAATTGTGTGTTTATTTGGCCTTAGCTCAGAGTTCTCCAAATTTTGCCATCCGGCAGAGAGGGGGAATGCATACATGTGTGCAGCAGGCACGCCCGCCTGCCATTCAGACAAATGGAGCACGCGTGCATGCACTTTCCCACCACTTCCACAGCCCGTTTCCAGATGACTTAAGGCTCGGTAGTGGGTATTAGCTGATACTGAAGTTAAGCAGGATCAGAACTGGCTAGTGCTTGAGGAGAAACCACAAGAAAATCCCACGGTGGGTTAGAGTGAAAATAAAAACACCACCACATAGAGATAATGGTTTTTGTGTTGGCATCAAGAAAATTATCTGGATGTAAACTGTGAAATTACCAAGTATTCATACATTGATCTGAAGGATACCTTAGTTTAGTACCTTTAATATTTGACTACACTTTTCTTCTTAATAAGGGATTCTGAAATCAGTATCTTTTTTAGTCATGGCTAAGCAATATAAAGGTCTGGGTTCAGAGGTTCTAGAACAGGGGTTCTCAACCTTGGCAACTTTAAGACTTGTGGACTTCAACTCCCAGAATTCCTCAGCCAGCTTTGCTGAGGAATAGGCTGAGGAATTCTGGGAGTTGAAGTCCACAAGTCTTAAAGTTGCCAAGGTTGAGAACCCCTGTTCTAGAATCTTTAGGGGCATTACTTAATTAAACCGGGTGATATTCTAAACATACTGGCTGTTGTTTATTTTAATCATGATTTAGTCCAGCATGGCGACCTTCTCTCGGAATAAGAATCACAAAGGTCTAGTGCTTAAGGTGTTCGCTCAGGAACCAAGAGACCGTGAGTTCTTGTGCCATCTTAGGCATGAAAAACCTGCAGAGTATTCGGGGAAAATAGGAGATGGAAGGGCTATTAGGCATGTTTGCCACCTTGACTTGTTTATAAACAAAAAAAGCAGGATAAAAATCAAATAAATAAAAAAAAGTAAACTTGCCAGTAGCTGAAAAATAGTCATCTGATCCCAGAAGGAGTGTGTGGTTCTAAGTTAGTATGCCTGCAATTGAAGTAAAAAAACCTTAATGGGAGAGGTGTCCATTAAATACAAAATTACACAATGTCCCTATTTATTTTAAATAGATGTGAATTTATCTAAATTATGTAAATTGATGCAAATTTTGTCAATTTCTTTAGCGGTCTGGACTGCTTCAGAAACACCCACTTTGTTATTTGGAGATGAAGCACAAACTAAATTTTGTCTATGGAATCCTATGTCTAGCAAATGGGTGTCTGTAAAATCAAAGTTTTATTAAGTTTATAATCAGTGTGAAGGTGACTTGGGATGCATAAACAGGAAAGTTCTGAGTGTGCATGGATCCTATTCCCAAGTCACACTTAAGTGGGTTAGCCTGGGAAGTCATATGTTAGGGAAACATGAAAATGGAGGTTAAATTAAATCCAAGCAGATCCAGTCACGCTGAAAGTTTAGCTAACTTCACACAATGAATCATGTTGTGATAAAACCTAAACCCAGTTAACAAGCTTATTTTGTCTAGTCCTCTGAGAAAAGATGCCGAACAAACATTGTGCAGTATTTGTAAGTCTGCTTGGATTTTATTTAATTCTAAATTAATCAGATCAGCGTAAAGGATCAAAGGATATTTTCTAGCAGTTTCTATAAGAAAAAATGGAGTCAGAACTTGGTCAAGTCTTTTACAATAATGTTCAATCAAACTTGCCTGGATATTGTTCTTTATTGCAGGTTAAACATACCGAGTTCCTTCTACTATTTTTCATAGGAGTTATTTTCTAGACTTTTCACTATCTTTTGAACTTGGTCCAAATTCTCTCTCTTTTTTAAAAAAAAAAATTGAGTCATTAAAATAAATGGGATCTTACTAAAGCAGAAATAAAGTAGAACAATTAATTTCTGCGGCCAGGAGCTGCATCATATTACTGTCTCATATGTAACTTGTGGTCAACCAGATCACTCAGATGCTTTTCACACATGATACAGCCAAATCAAGTATTCCTCTTCCTGTTTTTTAACCTTTCAGATTTCCTTCCGAGATGCAGAATTTTACTTATCTCCCTATTCATTTCAGCCCATTGCTCAAGCCAGTCTTTTTAAATCTTCTGTCTTCCCATGTCAGACCTTCAAGCCCAGACTATAGGAAACCAATGTCTTGTTGGCCAATACTACTATTACTGTAAAGTATAACAGACAGTATGACAGAATCTTGTGATGAGGTGTCCTTGGTACTCCCTCAGCTTGGCTGTTTTCTTTTAAGACGTTTCATTACCCAAACTAGATGACATCATGCAAGCTCAGCATGTTACCTAGTTTGGGTAATGAAATGTCTACAAGAAAACCAAGCTTAGGAAGCACCAAGGACCCCTCATTTCAACCCTGAGCTACAAATATTTTCCTTTATTAAAATCTTGCAAGTTTGAATGTGGCTCATCTTTCCTCCCTTTATCTTTGTAAGAATTATAAAGGTTTTGTCTGAGATACTGTCTCAGGTTACAGTTCTGTCCCAGTCTCTAGTTTCTCCACCCAACCGTTATCTTGGCAGTAGCTTTTCTTCCTGTCCCTCAAGGCCATTTCCTCTGCCCTCTACATTCCTTTACATAGAGTTAGCCACTTCTCTCAGTTTTGTGCCATGTGAAAACTTGTTAGGCATCCCCTCAACTTCCTCATCAAAATCATTGATGGAAATGTTGAACATCACCAGTTCTATGTGGAAGTGGACTCTTCGGCTATGGTCATTTAGCCCACACTCTATAACTGTGTTGCTAGAGAACTTGACGTATCATTTGAAATATGTGCCAATGTCTAAATATATGTGCAATTTGATTTCTGGTTTGATTATATTGTATCAGCTAAAGGTGCTTGGGATTATATCTTACCCAACTGGGTTGCAAGAATAAAATAGCCACATAAAGTATGCATTTGGTTTCTCTGTGCTTCTTCTTAAAATACTTTCTGATATGAAGTGGAGTCTTATGTTTACGTTTCTTGAATATTTTTAACCCAAGGGCTCATTCACTTTGTATTTGAAGAGTTGAGGTGACAACATGCTTGTTTAGAATCATTACAGCAGATTCTACACTACCGTTATCTCACTCAATACAACTTTCAAGAGGTATGTGAAAGATTGTTAAATGCTAAAATACAATATGTGTTTAAAAAGGCCAAATTTATTTGCAATAACTGAGGAGTCCCTGTCTAGAATATACAGTACTATTAATATGAATAATTTCCTACTAAAAATCACCCTCCTTCCAGGACCACTTAAAATAGGGAGAGGCTCATTTGGAAGGTTCATAATTGGCATTATAAGAAACATCAGTAATTTGAAATTCTGCCCCATCTCTCTCTCTTTTTTTTTTTTTTAAAGAGAGAGCTGAAAGAGGGTTGGGAGAGAGATTATTGTTCATATTGTTCACTTTTGCTTTGGGAAATAGGTTTTGCAGTGTCTTGGATAGTCTCCAGCACCTGTTTGAACAGTAGAAACGGGGGATAAAAAATTAGGATAT